ATACAAGTTCCCCAGTATGGTTTTTAATGTTTAACAGAACTTGTGCAGGTTTCTTTCGAATTTAGAGACACAGAGCAAAACAAAGAAGGTGGAAGAAATACAAAACACAAAGGGTACCTTAAGTAGCTCCTACTGTGTAGATGGCTATAAGTTTAAGCCCAGTTTGAACTGATTTGCCTTAGTTATATCGGTAACCTTTAGTTCACAGCAACACCAAAGCCCCTGCCTAATGAAAAGCACTGGGCATGCTTAACCTGTATTGTACATAAACCTACAATGATTCAGAAACAGAGCTCTGCCTTACTTGCCAGAAAGAAACGTAAGGCGCCACAGCCAGGCAGGCAGGGCAGATCTAACTCTGAAGAACTCTTGCCACCTCTAGCCAAGAGTGAGTGCCCAGAGGATTCCTATCTGACTGGAAACGAGAGCCCTGTGTAAGTAATCTCTTAACAAACATATCAAACTTGCCAAGATGGGTTGGTCTGGGTCGTTTTGGTCTCTCTGCACCGCCTCAATTTGGAGGACAGGTTTCTAAACCATTCCGGGATTTTCCTGGAACAAGTGTATATGTCCGTAAGTTACAGTGCTCTGTTTGTTAGACTCCTGTCTATTCCACTGTTTTTCCTGAAGAGTAGCCTGCGGGACTGCTCTGATCTACAATTATTTTCTGCCTTTCTGTTAAAGCATTGTTTTATGACATTAATTCACTTGAAAACTGATAAGTAATATCATTTAGGGTATTTTTTAAATCTTGTTAGAAGTTCATTCTATTTCCTGTAAATCATAAAACCATTTTAACACTCACCTATGAAATCAAGGCCAGAGCACCAAAAATCAATTACCAGGCGCCAAGTGCGGGGGGGGGTGGGGGGGCATGCACCTGTAGTCCTAGTTACTCAGGAGGCTGAGGCAGGAAGATCACCTGGACCCTAGGAACTTCAGTTCAGCCTGAGCAACATAGTGAGACACTGTCTCTTAAAAAAAAAAAAAAAAAAATTAACTATCAAAGCTAACCAGCATTTTGTATTGCTATTGTTTTCTCCCCTTTCTTTTTTAAAATTTCCATTCTAAGATGTTGTTACCTATATGAAATTTTCTCTGTATAGTGCCCTCATGAAAGAATACAAGTACAATCTAGCAAGGAGGAAGACAGAGGAGGGAAAGAGAAGAGGGGAAGAGGGAGGGTGACTGGCAGGATCTCACCTACCTGCACAATGGGAGGGTGTTTAGCATGTGCCCCCCCGCCCCTGCCATGAAAGGCTCAACTGCAACTTGAACTTGACCTCATAAATGAAAACAATGTAACCTAAACAATGGTGCCCTCAAATTAATCTGAAATTTAAAAAAAGAAAAGGAAAGAAATTTTCTCTGTGTAGTTTAACAGAATTCTTTGAACTGTGTCCCCTCCTTACATGGCACTGGCTCACTGCAATGAAGATCAAGCAAACTGACCTGGTGAGAGTAGGGAAGTAGTACAATGGAACTACAGTACACCTTGAAAACAATCTTAAAATGCATTTTTACACGTGATTTAAGAGCTAAAACAGGTATGGCTGGTCATTAAAAGTCCTTCTCTTTGTATTGTTTTAAATGCCAAATGATTCGCAGTTCTCTGAATCTGACCTGCACTTTCACATCTTTGTACTTCTGTTTGGGAAGTCCACCCCTCTGTGTCCCTAAATGTGGAATTCTCCTCACCCTCTGAGGCTCAGTCACAGGAAGCTCTCAGAGCCCTGTCCTCTGCCATTTTGCATTACGGGAAGTTGCACCATGTTGTAAACTATTTACCATGAATTTTATGTACATCTTTCCTATCACTGCACCTGTCATGATGACTTCTGCATAGGTTACATTCAAGAAATTATTTAAAATCAAGTTAAGCTCATTCGCCACAAAATATATGATCAAATGAGGTTATAAATACTAAAATTACCACATTAGACATTGAGAAGAATATGCCAAGTAGGTACCCAAGAGCAACTCTGGAACATTTTTACCAGATTCCGCCCCTCCCCCCAGGTACAGAGCTAGGCAGGTGTCATGGAAGCCCTGGCTCCTGACTGCCTCACTGTGATGGTGCACTCAGCCTCCCAGAGAGAGAGAGGGCTATGCCATCAGCAGGTCCCTAAAAGCAGCTCTAGACTCAATGTCTCTCTCGCTACATACCTGTGTCCATCACAGAAAGAGTGAGCACCACAGAGTGTAAGAATAGCAAAATGAATCCCATCAAAACCCATTTATATATATTTCCCAACGAGGGCAAATTCAACCACAGAGGCTAGCTCGTGCCTCCTTTCATAGGGGGACTAGTTAGCAAGTTCTTGCTCCCTGAACCTTCCCTGTCAATAACTTAAGAATAGAAACTATTTCCCAAATGAGAGGGAAATTGGCAAGGAAAGAAGAGAATTAAGTTGACAACAATCTTCTGGCAGTTTTCTTACTATAACTTCTCATAGTTACTTAAAAAGAAAACGGGCCTCCAATGTCTGCCACTGCTTTTTGAAAAACCTAAACTCTTCTGGGGTGGGGGAAGGGTTGCTGCCATAATTTCACATCTCAAAAGTGATGCCTAAGTCCTCCTCACCCCGACCCTGCTACATTCTCATAGAAAGAGAAGAGAGGTGAGTGTTCTCTGAGTGCTTCTCCTTTTACCTTCCTTCATGATTAAAAGGAACTTAAAACCACATTGAGAACAGAAGTCCCTCATCACCAAGAAAATAGTCCAGGCTCCGAGGGACAGCCCAGCTGGCCAGTTCCTCTTCATATTTTCTCTTTCACTTGGAAGCCCAAATGAGAAATGCCCCTTCACAAACTGACAAAGGTATCGGTGAGAAACGCTAGATTTAAAGTTGCTGGGAGAAGACCTAAAAATGTCCTTCATTAAAAACTAGACACTTCCCCGTATTTTGCTTCTTTCCTGTTCTGTACAGAGCACTGATAGGTGGCACTTGTGTGGCACATACATACATCGATGATTATTTAACCTGCTTTAAGAAAATGTGGTATACAAACATGTATTCTCAAATTAAAATTTATAATGTGTTTAATGAGAAGCAGTCACATTTATTTAAATCCTATAATGAACTTTTTGGGGAAAAAATTAAACCCACTGCTGTAACTTGAACTATCCCTTAAAATTCTAGTGCTGGAAATTTAATCCCAAATGCAAAAACATTGGGAGGTGGAATCTTTATGGGCTAAATAGGATTAATTTCATCATTGAGGGAGGGTGTTTGTTATAAAGGTGAGTTCAGGCCCCCTCTTGCTTTCTCATAGTCTCTCACCCTTCCACCTTCTAACAGGGTAAGACATAGAAATAAGGCCCTTTCCAGATGCCTGCCCTTTGATCTTGGACTTCCCCAACTCCAGTACTATAAAAAAAAAATAAAATAAATTTTAAAAATCTCTGTTCTTTAAAAACTACCCAGTCTGTGGTATTCTGTCACAGCAGCACAAAACAAAGACAACCACTTCCCAATAAATATATTATTCCCTCACAATATATACTCAAAAAAATTCTTAAAAGTATAGGACTTTGGGACACAGTTGTTGAAAGCAAAAAAGACAATATTGTGACAAGCAGCCATCCAGTAAGCCAAAAAGCCAGAAAGTGCTGGCTTTCTGGGATGACTGAATCCACGGGGCTGAAAAACCTATTCACAGGATCCCATCTGCCTCGCTGGGATACTATCCCAAAGGCTATTAGGAAACAAATGTAGATATCTACATAAGTTCAAGTTAAAGTAATCAAGATGGTGACCTTTAGCATTTGAAAGCCACAAGTTCCTAACAAAATGAGTACACTATCTCAAGTGTTTTATAACATGTTTTAGTGCAGTTAACACCACAGGAAAATGCATTTCCAGACCTGGACTCCCTGAGTATGCAAATCGAATAGGAGATTGTGTGTGTGTGTGTGTGTGTGTATACACACACATTCGCGGTTGTAAGGATTTCCCAGAGTACTGCGAAATTAAAATACTCTACCTTGAGTCCCACGACTATTTCCCGACGTCAAGCACTGTAACCCTTCCTTTAAAATATACTGTTTCTGAATTGTTTCACGAGTGTTACTATTGTTTCCTCTGAGGTTGTTTTTAACGATTCAGTTGGCCGGCTGCAGGTTTAAGATCCTGCTCTAATCACCTCCTGCACTCACCACCGGCCATGGACAGGAGACATGCGGGGTTCACTTGTACTGCTGTGGAGCTTTTGGAGGGGAGGGAGACCGGTAGAGATCATTTAAACTTCAACGAGACCATCAGAAATTCCAGATCTCCCGTCTCTCCTTTCATCGCTTGGACATTCCGTTTGGTAACCTGACACGTCATCCATATACTCCTTGGGGAATCCCTCTCCCTGTCGCGATCTGAGCGACATCCCCAGTCCCGGGGGACGCAACTCCGGGCCCACGGAGGGCGCCTCCGGGTCGGCCCTGGCGCCCCTGGGGGCATCTCCACCCGGCGGGCACCACCAGGCAGCGGCCCGCGGCCGGTCCCTGTCCCCGGGCGCCGCAACCGCACTTCGGACGGCCAGGAGCCAGGGCCGAGACCGGTGAGACCCGACTCGGCTGAGTGGGAAGAGCCCACGGAGTTCAAGCGCAGACACCCGAGGGGTGTCCCTGGAAACTCCCACGCCGCCGACATCTGTCGATCTCCTCTCCAGCGACAAACCCCGGCGGAGGGCTACGGCCGCCCGATCCGGCCGCGGTGTCGCCGGCGCCGCCGGCAGCCGGGCCCGCCTCGCGGAGCGTGCGCGGCGCGGCTCGTCCTCCGCGGGCCGTGAAGGCCATCGGCCGCCCCCACACGCCCGGCGGCCCAGCCGCGCCACCTGAAGCGCCGCGTCCCCGGCGGGTGGCGGCGGGCGTCAGCGCGTCCCCGAGCGTCCCCGAGCGCGCGCCCGGCCGCCCGTCCCCGCCCGCGGCGGCCCCGCGCGAGTTGCACTAACTTTCCGGGGCGGGGGAGGGGCGGGCGCCGCGGGCCCGGCTGGCCCGGCCTTACCTGTGCTCAGATTGTCGTTGATTTTCAAGGGCACCCGCAGGATGTAGACCAGGAAGAGCACGATGAAGAACCACACGGTCCAGAGATACGTCCAAGACCAAACTATGCAGGACTTGAGCTGCTCCAGAAAGCCCGTGGCCGCTTCAGCCATTTTCCAGCGCTGCTCTCTGCTGCCGCGGCTCTCGGTGTCTGCCGGGATGATTCACC